CTGGGTATATCAAGCTTGATGGAGTGGACCCCGTCTAAATAGGTTCGGTATATATAGGTTCTGTATGACGTCTGGAGACTATGTACGGACGGGAACTGCCAGTCTGTTGTCTATTTCAAGCTTAGCAGTCGCCATCTTGCACATATAATAGAACTGCCTATTTCTTTACTGACAAACCGGATGTGCCGAACTCTTCTGTTCTCGACTGACGTTGCCTTTTTTTTATTAAATAGCGAACTGGCTTGCTACAATTATCCGTTTTTTAGTTTTCACATACAGTGGAACACAAATGTAGACACGCTGACTGTACTTCAGAAAAAGAAGAAAACGATAAAGGGAAGCCAAAGTATGTTAATTGCTAGCTCTTGTTTAAGGAGAAAACCGATTTAAAGCTCGAATGTCGAGCGATTTAATGCTCTACAAAATCATTGACCGATTTTCAGTAAACTCTTATCAGCGCAAGATACCCTGAATCGCTCCAATTGATTATATTGAAAATAATTCTACTTCAGGCGGGATTGGCGTAGATAATGCATTTCCCATCGATTGACCGCACTGCCCTATCGGTCCTTGTCAGTCCTGTGTGAGATCAACTAAACTCTACCTTTTCAAAACAATCTTCCACTGCCGTGTACTCGAACTTGAAGCTTATTGGCTGGTCGATTACGGCAGTATCATCAGATCGTGCCCCATCCCAGGATGACCGATAGGGCAGCGATCAAACCTCTCCTGTAGGTTCTTCGATCGTGTCCAACATACCGAACAATTGATCATCAGCCTGACCCTTGAGTACACAAAGACATGCTTGCCCTGGACTGGCTAGTCTGCTACCATGAATTTCACATTCGATTACTGTAGGTACGTGAAGTGGTGACTTTTGTCCTTACAGTCCAACATGCATTTCAACACCGATGAACAGAAGAAAAGGAGCAGTTTAAGTTAAACTGCTCTAGATGTTCTCGTTGAAGTACATGTGCTCATTATAAGTCATAGCAATTATATTACAACAGTTCTGTTCTAGTTCACAGTGGACAGCCACGTAATGCATTTATAGCTATACAAGCCACGTTAACGACGATTTATTTCGGGACCGAGCTGGAAATTGCGTTCGAACTTTCCTGTAGCCAGTTATAGTTCTCAAACAGGCCACAGATTGTTTGTTCCACCGTAGCTTAATGGCAGAACATGGTGGCTGTAAATTGAAAATGAAAATTTAGGTGCGCATTTTACATCGTACGATATTAAAGGGTAGCTGCGATCAAGTTTTTTAAAATTACAAACCTTTAAAATGCACCTTTATGCCTCAATAAATGTTGTTGTCAACTTTGGTTTCACAACGTCAAAGGATATTTTAATGCCTTTTTGGTTTTTATGCAAATGAGTATTTCTATATTCATGAGCAAAACTGTGATGTCATTTCAGGAAGAAGCCTCAATGGTACATTGGTTTGTACACAAAAAAGTCCTGCGTTTTGGTAGATTTTCCTGGACTTTTTCTCTTCTTTGCTGATTCGTTGTCGTTTATGTGCATAGCAATAAGAAACCGTCATTGCCTCCCTCAGAAATGTTTCCAGTAGGTAAATTCTGGGTTCACAATTTGAACAGAAATAAATATGCACTGAACAGAAATAAATTTGCACTGAACCACGTCTTCCCTAGATGACTTCATAGCAACAGCGTCCTCAGTTGTCCGGGAAAACATGGATAATTTTGATTGTTTAAAAGTGTGCACTTTTCAATGCATTTTAACCAAAAAGTAGTGTGTAAGAGTATTCATACATTGAAGAAAAGCACAAAAATGCAGCAAATTGTAATTCATTGCAGTCGAATAAACGTGGCCTAGCCTTAACGTTACCTCAGAATAATATATGATCATACATTTAACAAGTAGGTGGAGTTTCATTTTCACAATTTTGACTCGGGATTTTTCTCACTCAACATTGAAACAGTGCCAATAGCTGATACATTTTTTTTCCTCATAGCAGGCGCTGTCGGACATAATTTTGCCACTTGAATGACATCATAACACTGATATCGAGGCTGACCTAACTGAAGAGTAACAAAATGTGTATAGAAAACGAAGTTTGGGTACCACACGCAAGTTTTGGTACAGAGTGGCTTCCACCCAGCGAGTTTCCATTGCAATTCCAATGTAGGTTCTATTCAACGACATCGTTGACGATCATCCCGATGCTTGTACGACGGAAGTCGCTCCCCGATGCATGTTGTCTCCGCTGCCTGGCATCATTGGGTCCTCTGCGATAGCTTTGTGCGTGGTGGACTGACCGCATGTCTTGCTGTGTGCGCCAAGGAAAGGTGAAGAAGGAAAATCAACTGACGATAGTGCGGACATGTTGGGAAGTGAAAAGAACTCCAATTTGAAGGATACTCCAGAAAGTCACGAACCTATTGTGAGGTCAGGATTGGATCACGTTTAATTATAAACCCCTCCCCCACACACATCTAGAATACGCATGGAAAATATAATCTTGTCAAGACAGATGGGGAGTTGCACCCTCGTCTCGTTTAGTTCAACCGGTTGACTAAGCTGTCTTGAAGTTTTCAAACTTAAAACCTCCGTTTGTGAGTGTGCTCACACCAGTCTTCTGGATGGTGACCCTAGGGAGTGCATCCTTGTTTGATTGTAACGACCTACCGGTTACCAGCGAGTCATGGTTTCTCATCATGGGCGTGATGTTGTCAGCCTGACGGTGCTGCTTCTTCTTGAAGTACGTAGCAAATGCATAACAGCAGATGAAACCAATGGCAAATGTCCACTTGATGACGTCAGCGCTCCACCACACCCAGCACACGACGATGTAGGACAGTAACGAAAACCAACCCCACTCGAGCAAAGACATTTTCAGTTTGCCTTTTGAAACAAGCGACAGATTTTGGCACAAATCGTTTTAGCTATGGGTGCGAAACTGGAGTGTGCATGGTAAGATATATGGGTGATAGCAGTGCACTCGTGGATCACACAAAGCCAAGGGTAGGCTGTTTACCAACCATTGTTCCGACCTGAACTTTAGATTCTAGGTGAAGTTCAAGTTCTTTGTCATCCTTATCTTATTGTTTTTTGTGGTCAGGCCATTCATTGGAACTTACGCTTATCACGAACAAAATACCACCCCAGTGTAGCTCCCAGTGCCAGACTAAATATTGGAAAGGATTAAAAGAGCTTGTAATGTGGGTTGGTTCTGTATTTCAAAAAGGCAAGCTATAGGTCTTTCGTGAACAAAGTGCGCGTGTGCGTCAGTGTATGGCTGCGCTGATAGGGTGCGTGCATTGCTGTTCCCGAATGACCTCGGACGCGCTTCAATTTGGGCATTCGCTGTTGGAATACCAAATTGGCTCATTCGTTCCTTTTGAGGAACTTGAATCTTAATGTTCGTTGGATTTGCCCCACTATTTATATGTATATCTTGCTTTAGAAATTAGGAAATGTAAACCCTGGAAAAATTTATAATTTTCAGGTTTTCACAACTTGCGCGTGAGGGAGAATAAAGACATGGCTCGTTCACAGTGCATTGTGTGAGAAGCCAAAGTGTTTCAAGCCCAGATAAATTCGCTTATTTCCGACACAATAATGATTAATTTGAATAAGTGCTCTATAACACATTATAATGAAGTCGTTTTCCTGTGCTTTTACGATACATTTCTGAAACCTTTAGGGAAGAACCTGCTACTCCTTTGTAGAGTAACTAACGAAAATAAACGCAGTACATGTTCAGTCTTTTCAAAAATATTTTATCAAGTCATTAGGCCAACTATTCATTCACTACATGAGAAAAAAACTCAATCCTGCAAATTCTGCGTTGTTTGAAGCACTTGCCACTAAAACAATTTATTAAACTCAAATCGTTACAGTCCTTCGCTGGCGAATAAATATTTATACATAAAATTGCCAGTGTTGATATTTGAGCACAGTTCTCACAACCGCAGTGTCGCTGTTTAGTGGAAAATATTTACTGATCTCTTCGTCAACACACTAAACATGTAGTTTACAAGCCCGGGATTCAAATCGTTACATCTGGGGACGAGCTTTGCTTTTTAAACAGATTGGCTCCCAGACTTGCACAACAAGCTGATTGCCGGCAGGCAATATGGGAACCATACCCGGAGACTTTAGATTTGAACAGAGGTTGATTTTGAACACTGGTGTCGAGAAAATACCGGCAAGTGAAATCTAAGCATCGATTATATAATCATAACCTAACCGCCATACTCTGCCCGTTTGGAAATAATTCAGTACGGCGCTGGATCATCCTCTAGTAAAAATAACACCATTTATGAATCTTGTTAGAGCATGCTGTATTTACATGTGCATTTAAAACAAAATTACATGAGGAATCTCTTTGATGTTTACATAATGGTACGTCATTAGATAAATGCCACTGTTTGGTGTAGGCTTTGTCAGTGTGGGCTATAGTAAATAAAAACGATGGTGCAGAGTGCGGGCCGACGCGTGCAAGTGCTCGTATTTTGCTCTGTTTGGCTTGTGACAAAATACTGCAGTAAAGAAATATCGAAAGATCGACGGCGCCATTTACCCTTGAAATATTTGTCTTGATCGAATTGTGAATTTGAATAGAAATCAGGATTATTTACACAGTTCGTTCATTCGTATCATTCGCATAGTACTAACAGCTCTAATGGTTTAAAACAAACTTTTTCTATCCGTTGATTTTTTTAAGCAAGAAAAATGCACGCGGCTCATCAATTCGGTAATCTTCGATTTTCTTTGATAATGAACATGACTTTGTTCATATTCCTGAAAACGGAAATGCCGCCATATCTGTTGACAACCGAGGATGCGCCAGGTGAGGTTTTCGTGAAGTACCAAGTGCTTCGATCATTGGACCGTCAATATGACGCTCCATTGGAGGAAAGCAGAATTGTCTCGTAGATGAGCAAGACGGCACTGCTAAGGTTGACAAGCAAAATGGCGGCAGGGTCAAACTTTGACGCGGTGTGGTACGGTGGGGGGATGTTTGTAGAAGCGTTGTGGGTTGAACAAAGCCCTGTGGTGCATCGTCCTGTAGGTCGAAAGACAAGGAACAACATCCAGTATTCAGTGACCTCATACAGGAGATGGTGCAACTTTGCTGCAACGCATTTTTTCTCCTTGTATGAATAATCAAAGAATCCGTGAAGCCTGTGATTATCAAAAATGAGCTGACTATTTTCATTACCACCATGCAGTCTACTAAAAACCTATATCAAATCAAGACGGCCCTTTTTATTTTATTCCTTGATTCAGTTGTCCATCACAAAGCAGCTCTTTGCTGTAACAAAGTTTTTTCAGGATTAATTTTGTTTTTTTTAGAAGACAGTATGTTTTGTTCCTCAGGATTCCCCAGCTATATATACACGCATTTAAATGCGCAGTCGTCACGTGCATAACAAAACGAAAAGGCCAGTCTGGTACCTGGACTACCTAATGGAATGCATCCATTTACGCCTTGTCCTCAGCCACCGCGTCCACAGATCGCCTCCTCTTTCCTGGCCCTCCACTGCCGAAGCGGGAATTGCTGTCTGCGAGCATGCGTGATAGGGCATCTTGTCCCAGCTTCAATTGTGCGCAGCCGCCGAAATATTCTGCGCACCCGGAAGAGGACCGTTTTAGCCTGAAAAGGTAAAGTATCAGTTTTATCACCATTTTTATCATATTTATCACTTGGCTGACCATCCGGAAGATCCTCATTTTGGAGCCCTTTCATTAGGCAACTGTCATCAACCTTAGTGCCACTGTCAAAATCAATCATTCGATTGACACATCCATTCTTTCTTTTTTTTGGAAAATTGGATCAAATGAAAATGAACTCACATCGACTGGAATTCGCTGCTTCTTGAAAATGTGTGGACAATTTGGTTGTACGCGTCCACCTTGTCAGCCAAATCTCTCAGCTCGTCTCCTTTCAGTGGAAAAACAGTATCTGCTTCACCCCTGAATAGTGACATAAACCAAAATTGAGGTAAACTTTGACTGTGGTCCAAACGTTTTGAGCAAGATTGGGCTAGTCTGTAAGCGAAATGCAACAATGCAAACGACTGTAAATCAGCAACATTATCAATGACTGTGAGCTTTGACCCCCGTTGGGGGCACAAATTAACAACTAACATTTGAAGCTCTTGGTGGCAGCAACTAAGTCGGCCATTTTGAATTACGTATTCAACTCAACTCAAGGCTGCATCCGAATCTGTTGTCTAGAGCTAGGTCTAGGTCTTCCCTCCATTGAAAATGTGTGGACATGCGTAGACATTAGACCTAGCCGTAGCTCTGGAAGCCCGTTTCGGACACGGCCTAATGTTACGGGCGGCACGCTGACTGCATTGAATTTTAAGCGTCAAATTCCGCCGTTCGCTTTTTGCATTTTGGAGGGATCCAAAGGATTACACAGTTGTCGACGACTGTTCCGTACATACCTTGATAACGAGGCAGCTGTGGCAATGGTGTAGAACGTGCAAAAGACTGCTAGCGTTAGTACTGCTGTTGGCTTCATTGTTGGTAATGGATGACGTCAGTGATCTGCGTAAATAAACAGAAATGACTACATGTCAGCCACAGTTTATGCTGATGACGTCATCCGTGACACTAATTTCAACTGGGTCGTTGTCAATAGCATATACGGGAGCACATTTTAAAAGCAACACTGATTGGTAATATAGGTCCTGTAATCTTCTCCCTCATCTTAGACGTCAAATGGTTCTGACCTCTGGAAAAATTACAAGTCATCTCCACCCGGAAAAGGATTTCCGTGTGTTAAAAGCTAATCAAGTACCTTTATATGTATCTAGAGTAGTAGATGAATACATGTAGGCCGTAAAGCTGGCTGGTTTTTTTCCTGGGGTTTTTCATTTCTCATATTTAAAGTTGAGAAAGGATTTGTTTCCTTTGAATGGGGCAGAATAGGATGTAGTGTGTTCAGCTCCCGAAATCAAACCCAATCTCAAAACACGCCCCAAATGGAATCTAAATCATGGAATTCTCCACTGACTTTGACATCCTACGCAAACAAACCATACGGCCTTGCTGTTTAAAAAGACCTGATATAAGGAACACCAAAACAAGAGTTGAAAGGTGAGGTCCAGCTGACTTATTTTACAACCACGGCCGGTTATGCTATTAATACCAGCGCGCTTGGGAAAAATTCTGCGCCGAGGAGGCTTGGTTACTGCCGGCAGGCGCGAGCGCCGGAGAAGATAGCCCCGTGGTAAAGATCGATAAGCGAGCGCCCGGTTGGGCCGGGGATGGAGTGTCCGATAGCCCACTACAAGGCTACGGTGTAAGCGCAGGAGGGCACTGCCGCATTGCGGTGGATGGCTAGATCGTGTCGGGGCATTCTAACCAGAGACAGGAAGAACCGGGGTGGTTCTGGCAGAGTGAGCCACGCGTGTCACGAATGCACAGGAAGCCGTGACGTCAGAGATGAACTGTCATCGGGGAGAGAGATTTCAAGCAAGAGTTGCGCCGTTCGTTCGCCGTTGGGGTTTAAAACATACATGTGTATCACACTCAGAAATAACCATTAATAAAAAAAAAACCAGTACCAGCTGCGCGTATTCAATGTAGAGCAAGGGAACCGTTAATTGAGTCGCAATATCACACCTGATATTTGTATTGAAATATCTCTGATAATGCATTATCTTTTAAGGTTATCATCACGTTAATTGTTCAAATTGTAGCAGTCTTTCATGTTAAAACCCAAGGCTGTATACACAACGATTCATAGAATCAATGCGTCAGAATGCTCCAGGAATCTTCGATTCCTTTTGTTTTTCAATATTAGTTATATTTTAAGACACTTAGCGTGCCTAGAAGGCAGCGGTAATCGTGTCCAACGTATCAATCTTGACAAAGGCGCTTTCGAATGACGACCCTTCTCCAAATACATATATCCGGCTCGGGCCGTGCGGAATGTCAAGATCTAAACTCCTTGCCGCCGTCTTCCAGTTGTTCCGTGAGCTTTTCCCTAATCTTTGGCCTGGCCTTCTTCTTTTTTTTTCAGATGGAGTCCCCTTCGCTTCTGTTTGCAAGCTGGTTTGGGGGCCCGCTGTCACGGATTTAAGGGCCACTCAAGTGGCGTTTGAAGACAGCGGGGTGGTTTCACGTTGCGCGGGAGCGGCGCAGCTGCACCAAGGCATCGCTCGCCCTTCGCTCTTTATTTCTGTCATACGAAAAGACTGAAGTTGTAGATTCGAGATTTAAGTGTCTGGATTTCTTTAACGTGGCACGTTAACATAAAACATCTTTGGATAATGCCACTTACTTTGACTGTCGGTTTCAAAGAATTTTGAAATGTTGTTACGAAATTATTGTAGTTTTCTCGTTCATTCTGATTAACCATTTTTCCCAAGGCAGCGAGGTCTAGAGGGATTTCCCTATTGAGTTTATATTCCTTGTTTTGAATTTCAAGGTATAATCTCTTTTTATTTTATCCCCGTCTTCCAAAAGTAGACGAGACAACGCATTGTTCATATGTTTGTAATAGACCTGTCTAACAATTTTTCATATACAATAGTAGTTAGGTAGTAAACAGGGTTGCATGTCGTCACGGCATTTTAAAATAAGACACCTATAATGATTGTTACTGAAAGCTGTTGGTCACAGCTTTAAAGCAAATCCATCTGCCGACATCCCACAGGTTTCCCATACAGCCCCTCTTGTTCGTCCCAGACCTCAAATCTTCCGTGGAGTGTACACCAAAATTGTCCCTTGGTCAAACCCTCAAGTCCTTCCACCAAGAATTTGAGTAAATATCCGTTTCCTTGTCTTGTGTTTGGATGCGGCCCCGGTGGCATTATCGTGTTCAGGATTTGGCGCGGCCGTCTTTTCATCGTGGAAAAGACTCCTCGGACTGCGCTCGACTGCCAACGGCCGCGTGCAAATGAAAGGAAATGAGAAGACATTCCAGTTACTGGGAAAAAATGAGCGAGGACGATCCTAGAATCGCCCAGATTAATTGAATCGGGAAGATATCTCTGCTTTTGCAAGTAATGATGTTTCGGTGTGCGCAGAAGTGATGTTTAAGGCAGTCACGAATGATTTTGTGTCAGGGCAAATGCACAATCATTTGATTGGGTTTATCTTAAAAGTTGAGTACACTTTCTGTCTTTTCACTTAAGCGCTCTGCGTTTCCTCGAAGAGGGTATGGTAAAAAAAACCTTCACCAACGGTCATTAATACACCTCAAACATAATGACTTAACCCCACGCTTACAGCAGTGCATCGTGGGTAAAAAGTGGGGATAGAAATTAAAGATGGCAGACACCATCGTCAGTCATGCGAGCCTTTCGCGAGACTTTAGTCGGAGCAAATATGCGGTCTCATGGAAGCTTGAAAAATGCAGTTCTGACATTCGCCGTGTGCTTGATACACACAATGACACGCAACGGTTAACGAGAACCATTTTGGAAAATACAGACCTTCTCAATCCCTGGATCTTTTTGACAGTTTTCCATGCGTATCATGTTCTTGCAATAGCGCGCATTATGTGTCGGGACTATCGTCCCCACTCTTCACCCATAATGCACCACGGTAAACAGTGCGTTACGTCATTATGTTTTACGTCTACTGCAAAAACACTAACTCTAACATCATCCTGTCGGTTGCAAACAATGACTTGGATGAAAATCTTGGTAGAATTTTGGTCAGAAAAGTGGATTAGAGAATTTAGTCGTTCTTAACAACCGCCTAGTTTTTAAATATCACTTAAAAATGTCACTTTAAATATCACCAATTCGACGATTATACCATTAACTGCCAGCAAATTAAAGAAAACAAGTAAGTTTTGAAACATTGGAGTAGTTGATTGAAGTAGTTGATCAAACGCTGGTAAATATACGTGTTCATTTCACTCGAGATGAAGACTGTTCCTGCCGGTACAGCGACGCACTGGTCCTCATGAGGAAAGACCTTCGTGATCCGGTATGGCCAAGCACAGAACGGGATGCGTACCAGTGAGAGTTCTCATTATCGACTATTCCAACAACGGAGGAATTGGAGCTGTTCGGAAGTTTGTAGACGGGGTTAAATAAACGCTGCCAGCGTCAATTTGTTTGGATGGGGGAAAACGATTTTACAAGATTTCTCGCCTTTTATCATCCCAGAAATACTTAGCATCTTGCCAACTTCTTAAATATCTATTCACTTTAACCAAGCTTAACCATTATATAGGATGTGTATAAGGATTTTCAGTAATTTTTAAACATGAAAACAGACGCACAAGTTTTAGAGGCATATCCCTAGTCTGTATAGGTGATATTTACTCAGATATTAACATCTCTCATTATTTATTAATGAGAAATTTTAAATAATATCAGAATATTAATAATAACATTAATGACATCGTCCCATCAACTATGTTGTTCAACCCTCTCATTTATTGACATAGCCTCAAGTTACATTAATCTCTTTCACATGATATCTTTCCCTGCTTGTAATTGCTACATACATGTACACTTGCAGCCACGCATTGTAAACTCAAGTGCACTACGTCCCTGGGGGGTGTGGTAAAATGTTTCATTCGTGCGTAATTCATGAACCGGCTCATCAAGCGCGTCATATGCGCAATTCGAAGTGTCACTTGGAATGCAGTAACAACACTGCGGGAAATGAAGCGCTGATAGTTATACCCCAGTCCAATTCACAACCGGTTGGGAAGCTGCCGCGGGATAGGCCATCCAAGATCGAAGCAGCTGATGAATAGTGTTAAAGGGCAGTTTCACATTTGTGAAGTTACTGTAAACTTTATAGCAATATCCATTCGCAGATAAGTGAAGGACACACTGCATGGGCCAATCATAATCGTTTCGTTGGTGTGTATTGCAGGTGCATAATGTTGGCTCAGTATCACCATTTAGTTCAGTGCTTTAACCTTAACAGTCCTCAATCCTTCACCTGTTGGAGGAGTAAGGACTGTTAGGGTTAACGTCCTTAGTAAATTGACACAAGAGGCAAGTTACTTCGCCCACGCCCGCGCGGTTTCTAAGAGGTTAATAGTCGAAAACAGCTGCCAGGGAGATTTTCATTTAGGCCTACATTTAACCAGGGGACTACATTTTATCAGAAGCTAGTCAATTCACACTGAGAGGAAAATAGATCGGCATATCGGTGGTTGGCTGTGGGAAGGCTCTGAGGTGACTGTGACAAGTACAAAGCCTACACAAGTAGGTATATAACCCACTGGGTGCCCCTGAAGTGGGATCTAAACCAGGAATAGTAGGGCACAGCAGAAGATCAGAGCTCCCCAATGCCTACCGGAGCACCTTTTAACAAGCCAGGAGTTGGCGAGAGAGCCGAGAACAGCAGACGCATCAGTTAGTGCCTCTCAGAACTTCCTGAACAGGGAGAAACAATCATTAGGATTATATCTGCGCACCTGTGTCATGTGGCTGCCGGTCCCGTCATCATAACAAGTATAACGGTATTTTTTTTTCCAGTGTGCATTACATGAGGGCTTGGCGTGCCCTGCCTCAGTAATTTCACATTTACCGTCTCTAGATCCCATCGGGACTGGAGTGATAAAA